CCCCAAAACCCCAAAACCCCAAAACCCCGTGAGATGTTTATTAAAATTTAAGAGTTCATGATTAATTATTGGATAAAATCAAAGGAGTAACATTTAAATAGAGTCTTAATTGAGATATATATTAAATAATTACTCCCAAATATTTGCAGGAATTAATGTATTTTACTATCTTCAAGAAGATTCTAATAGGAAGTATAGCACTGACTATACTACTACTAGGAATTTTGAGTATTGTTAATGATAACTCGAAGTTTCTGGGTTCAGAGGAATATCTAGGGAATCAAAATTTACTTAAATAGCAAAACTTTATCTCGAAGCAAGAGGTAGATTAAATCTCCTCTTAATTAAAAAATAATGGAGATTCTATTGAATTGCCATAGAAACTTTAAATTGGAGCAAAAAAACCCACTGCAATCAATTACGATTATTCTTGGCTGAAATCTCAAGTGAGTTCTCTCTAATCTCAAATCATAAGTACTTATCAATCAAGAGTTGACGCACATATCAATACTGACAAAGTTATTTATCGTCCTAATGATGTTATTTTCATAGAGGTTTTATTCTTGGAATCATTTAATAAAACTCCTATAGCTCTAAGTGCAAAGGATACCTATTTCTCTTACTACTATGTTACAGTTGATATCACAGATCCATCAGGCACTGTTTTGCTCTCATCCTCTTAGTAAGTTCAGAATTCTACAGTGGCTGTTAATTTTAAGGTTCCCTAAAAAGCAGTCGGAGGAGAATACTCAATCAGTGTATATAGCTATTCGTTAGCAAGGACTACCAAGATTTTCAGAGTCAGAGATTATCCAAGAGATGAATTAGTTATTACTTCATTGACAAGTCTTGACTCATATAAACCTGGACAAACAATTGATGGAAAAATCAACGTTTAGCAAGCAAATGGAGAAGCTTTTGAGTCGGATTCTCTGCCAACTTTTGAATATTCACTCGATTTCTCTAGTCCAACTTAATAATTAGTTGAGGTCAGAAATCAAGCTTTAAGCAAGGACGGATCAGGATACTTTTCTATTGAGATCCCAACAGATTGTGACATTAATATTCTACCAATAGCATTTAAGGTAACCTATGGCACTATTACTTAATCACATACCTTGAATGTTGTTATTAGTCAACCAGATCAATCCACTATTGATTTCTTTCCAGAAAATGGATTCATTACCAGAGGAATCCAGAACAAGATATACTTCCAGGCATGGG